CCCCCACTGGACGTAGCAGATGGAGGAACCTTACTTGGGATCCCATGAGACTGGGTATGGCCATGCTATCGTTAGTACATCCCCAGTAGATGAGCAGAGAATAAGATGTTTAAAGGCTTTCTCACCTCCAAGGGAGAGGTGAACTCTGGGGCAGGAGAACAGAGGACAGTCTCAGAGAGGCAGAAGGTGATACTGAAGTGGGTAGGACCGGGCAGCAGTCCTGTCCACATGAAAGGGGACTCCCCTGGGCAGGACACACGGGTGGTGGTGGTGGTGGTATCTTGTAAATCCTACAAAAGCAGACAGAACAAATTTATATTAGAAGGCGAGACAGTGGTGACCCTTGCAAGGGGGAGGAGTGACCAGAAGGGAACATGACGAGGCTCTGGGAACGGGTATTGTTATACATACTGTGTTCATTTTGTAACAGACATGGCGAAGATTTGTATGCGCTTCTGTACGTCATTTTCAGTGACACTAATACGTAACTGTTTGGGGGGAAAAGAAGACAGACAGTCACGTCCCTATTCAATCCGTTTGAAGTGACACCAGATCTGAGAAGTAAGAGCTATGTGGGTTGGAGGTGACGACCAGCTGGTGTCTGGCCAGATTTATTTATTTCTTCCTCCATTCATTCACTTGTGGTTTTAGCACTTCCCACGCCAAATACAGCACGTAAGGCGAGAAAAAAAAAAAAAAAACATAGCTGTTGCTGCCATTTTTTTGGAGAGCTTACTATGAAATAAACATGGAGTGTTCATCTAACCCAATAATTCTATGACAAATTATTATTATTCCACATATTGGCAGAAGAACAAATCCCAGGAAGGTTGAGCAAAAAGCGTTCGGATTTTCATGTGTTCCTGAGGCTCCGGGGACCCAAATCTGATCAACGGCATCCCCTAGACATCTAAGAGGTGGTGAGACCTGTTGACAATTGTTGTACTATAGAAACGAGGTCTTAGAGGTGAGATGGGACAAAGTTTAAATTTCAGCAGCAGTCTGCAGGCCTTGGCATCTTCCTTTGCTCTTGGGAGCCTCAATTTGCCCAGCTCTGTAACAAGTGTAGAAATGTGTGTGTGTGTGTGTGTGTGTGTGTGTGTGTGTGTACATATATGCACACATACATATTACACACACACATACACACAAATATATATATATATTTCATTTCTCTAGGGGTTATTGTGGAGACTGAATTACTAAATTACAGGGACAGAGAGCAGTGTGATGCCAGCAAAGGGCAACTTGGACCTGACTTCTCAGGTCACCACCACACCGGGCACCTCGTCCCTTGCCTCCTGATGTGCATCTTTAGGGCTGGCTGTACTTTGAAATGGACCGATGGCTCTGGTAACCTTGTTCGCGCTCACACAAAGCAGCCGGGGAAGAAGCCCGCGACCCCGGGATCCAGCCCAGGCGCGGTGACCCCGGTTGACTCCGGAGGGCGGGTCGGCTCGCGCTCGCGCGAGATCTAGCGAGAGCCGGGGCTCCCGGTGCGGAAGTGAGAGGCGGGCCCCGGGGAGCACGCTCCCCTTGAAAGCTGGCGGGAGCCCGGCGGTGGGTCGGCGTGAGTCTGGGTCACTTGCTGGAGTGGAGGTGCGCCTGCGGAGGCCCCGGGCGTGGGGTTGGGCTCGTGCCGCTCCCGTGGGCCTCCCACCCGCGCCTTTTGCCTTGTGAAGAGCCTGGGGTGCGGGGGAGCAGGTGACCGGCCTTCTGCACCCTCCTTCCCCCGGGCCGCTGCAGTGGCCGCGGAACGAGCCTGAGCTTTGCAGACAATTAGTAAAACGTAGATCGTCCGAACCTATTGCGTCCGCTGAATCCGGGATCTGGGGGCCTTGGAGTGGCTTGGGGGCGTTTCGGAGGAGTTTAGAGGGATGCATTTATGTAGTTCGAATGCACATGCGTTTTTACCTGCGTTCCCGAGGTAGAAACGGCCTGGAGGCACGGCCTCTGATCCACCACCCTGCACCGAATGATAAACCGGACTTGAATATGCCAGTGGTTCTCGACCTTCCTAATGCTGTGACCCTTCAATACAGCTCCTCGTGTGGTGACTCCCAACCATGAAGTTATTTTTGCTGCTACTCCATAACTAATTTTGCTGTTGTTATGAATCATTAATGTAAATATCGGATATGCAGGACATCTGATATGCAACCTCTGTTGAAAGGGTTTTTTTTTTTGTCCCGAGGGGATCGCGACCCACAGGTTGAGAATCACTGGGCTACAAGCTGTAAGATGTCTTTCCTCCCTAAGATTTTTTTTAAATTTTATAATTTAATTTAATTTTACATATCAGCCACAGATTCCCCTGTCCTCCCTCCTTCCGCCCCCCCTCTCCCCAGCCCATCCCCCACTCCCATCTCCTCCAGGGCAAGGTCTCCCCTGGGGATTAAGCTCAGCCTGGTAGATTCAGTCGAGGCAGGTCCAGTCCCCTCCTCCCACGCTGAGCCAAGTGTCCCTGCATAGGCCCCAGGTTCCAAACAGCCAGCTCATGCACTTTTTTTAATCACAGCGCTAGAACTACTAAGACTCATATATATAATGTATTTTTATCACACACATTCCATTTCCTTCTCTTATCCCCCTCCTGTAACTTTCCACAAGTCTCCCATTTTCATATATATATTTATATAAAAAAACAAAAAAAACCCAGTAATCTCTATTAATCCCAAAGATGCAAGGAGAAAGACCACCAACCCAAATCATCATGGGCAAATTAATTAAGGCAAGCTTTTTTATTCGTGTCCACGGGGCTGCCTCCCCCTAAGGTGGGGTTCAAGGGGTCAGCATTGGATGTGGGGGAGGTAAGGGGTTGGGTAGGGGTGGTTGTCTGTGCCTTACCCCGAAGCACCGCCCCTAGTCGGCAGCAAGTAACTGCTAGGTACCTGCCCCCTCCTCCCCGAGGGGGGCATGGCCGAGGGGGCCCCTTTAAGACCTGGAATGTGTACATGCTGGTTCTCTTGGCTACCTCGTGGTTGTCTTGGATGCTGGTTGCTGCGGGGGAAGGCCGAGTTCTCCAGAGAACCGAGTTGGACTGTACCCCATCCCTCCAGGATCCTGCGACCAACTCCCTTATGCTTATAGTGAGTTAACCCAGAATAAATCCTTTTTTACTATCAGACAGACTCTGGAATTGCCTCATTAGGGTTGTTTGTTTGTTTTAAAAACTTGTATATATTTTATTTCACATGCATTGGTGTTTTGCCTGCATATGTCTGTATGAAGGTGTTGGATCCCCTAGAACTGGACTCACAGACAGCTGTGAGCTGCCATGTGGGTGCTGAGAATTCAACCCAGGTTCTCTGGAAGAGCAGCCAGGGCTCTTAACTACTGAGCCGTCTCTCCAGCCCTGAAGTTAAGGTTTTTATAGCTCAGGGGTAGAGGGTTTCCAAATGGGGGATTTGGCAAGCAAATAGGGTTACAGAAGCAGAACATGACAAGGTAGACATAACAACCTTTTGAAAAAGAGGCACTTTTGCAAGTTGGTTGTCACATCTTTTTGAAACAAAGACATGGTTACCGTTTCCTGGAACAGGCAGCACAGAACCATTTGTAGTTAAGGTTACAGGTGGGGCACAGCCCAATCCTTGAGAAACAAAGGTTTAATCGTAAACAGGGATGAACCTAATTTATCTTTACTATAAGATGACTTTTAAGCCTAAGATGGAGGCAGGCTGGTTCATCACTAAATACCCCAACCTCAAGAAAAATGAGCCCCTCTCCTCTAGTAGCCATCAACTACCGGTAGCTCCTCAGGAGTGGGGCCTCGAGTGCTCCTCTGTGTGTGCTGGAATGTTGATGGGCCCCGTTTTGTGCAGGTAGCCACAGCTGCCGTGTGTGCATGAGGAAAACAGCCATGCCATGTCTAGAAGATGGCATTTCACAGCGTTCCTCCCATGCTTTGGATGTGACATTTTTCCAGCCTCCTCTTCTGTAGTGTGCCCTTAGCCTTTGTGGGTAGAGATGGAGGTGTATATAGATGTCTCCTTTAGGACTGAGCACTCAGCAGTCTGTTATTCTCAGCACTTGGACCAGTTATGAGTCTTGGCATTACCTGCACGCTGTAGAAAAAAGATTTGTGACCAAGGCTATAAGCAGTACTAATCTAGAATGTGCTTGATAGTGTTCTATCAACCTGACACAAGCCGGAGCCAGCAGAGGAGGGAGCCTCAATGGAGAAACTGCCCCTGTAAGATCAGGCTGCAGGTAAGCCTGTAAGGCATTTTCTTAATTAGTGATTGATGGGGGTGGGGTGGGCGCCCAGCCCATCGTGGGTGGGGACATCCCACGCTGATGGTCCTAGGTTCTATTAAGAAAACAAGCTGGTGGGCTGGAGAGATGGCTCAGAGGTTAAGAGCACTGGCTGTTCTTCCAGAGGTCATGAGTTCAATTCCCAGCAACCACATGGTGGCTCACAACCATCCATAATGAGATCTGGTGCCCTCTTCTGACATGTAGGTGTATATGCAGACAGAACACTGTATACATAATAAATAAATAAATAAATCTTTAAAAAAAAAAAAAAAAAAAAAAAAAAAAAAAAAAGAAAACAAGCTGGTAAGAGGCATCCTCCATGGCCTCTATATCAGCTCCTGCCTTGTCCTGACTTCCTTCAGTGGGGAACAATGATAGGGAAGTGTAAGCCAGATAAACCCTTCCCTCTCCATGATTTGGTCTTGGTGTTTGCTCACAGAAATGATAACCCTAAGGCATATGGATGTAAACAAATACTTAGAGGGTAGTTTGATAACATGTCCATTTCACAAAACAACTGTAGATTCCCTCCTAGGATTTATGTCTCCCTAGCCACAGACTTAACGAGGTTTACCGTACCAAGCATAAATTTCCCCCTGCCGAAGGAGCCTCAAATCCAATCGGACAGTAGCTGATTATCCCATAACGTTCACGCCAGTATTTCACCAGAGGGAAATATATATTTAAATAACTTTTTTTTGTTTTTGTTTTTCGAGACAGGGTTTCTCTGTGTAGCTTTGCGCCTGGAACTCGCTTTGTAGACCAGGCTGGCCTCGAACTCACAGAGATCTGCCTGCCTCTGCCTCCTGAGTGCCGGGATTAAAGGCGTGTGCCGCCGCCACTGCCACCACCACCACCACCACCGCCTGGCTAAGTTGTTAGTATCTTGTTGGTGTTACTAATCTGTTGGCTGGGGTCCTTTTACTGTAGTGAGATAGAAATTGTAGTTAGAAATGTGTGGTGGCACAGGCTTATAACTCCAGTACTTAGGAGGTAGAGATAGGAGGATTAAGGTCAGCTTTAGTTACAGAGTAATCTGAGGCCAGCCTGGGCTACATGAAACCTATCTTAGAAGAAGAGGAGGAGGAGAAAAGAAAAGAAAAGAAATAGATGAATAAATTGTGGGCTGGTGAGTAAACATTATCCTAGTGCTGGCTCTCCAACCTTTAAGTACTCAAGGTCTAAGGGCAGAATTCCAAAAAGCTCTAAGCCCTGAGAGCTAGGGGCCTATGCTACAGAATTAGAATCCAGAAATTTATGGCCCTGGGGACACCTTGAAGGCTTAATGTTCTGGCTTTTAAGCCTGACATTTGGTGGCCATTGTAAACTATTGACTTCAGCAGAATCAGTGATGGGCAGCAGTGAGAGTCAGTGATGGGTAGCAGTGAGTCAGTGATGGGCAGCAGTGAGTTAGTGATGGGCAGCAGTGAGTCAGTGATGGGCATCAGTGAGAGTCAGTGATGGGCATCAGTGAGAGTCAGTGATGGGCATCAGCAGTGAGTCAGTGATGGGCAGCAGTGAGTCAGTGATGGGCAGCAGTGAGTCAGTGATGGGCAGCAGTGAG